TACGTCCATATATAACCCCCCTTATGGCCGCCACTGGATCAAGATATCCTATTCTCTCTCTGGGTTCTCTGTAAAAGTGACTAGCGGATTTATACAGAAGATATAAAGAAATCGTAAAAATAAAATAAAACCTTTTGTCAATATCTTTCTCATTAATGCATAAATAACGAATTAATGGGTACGTTCTAAATTGGGCATGCAACTCTTTTATTAGGGAAGGATGGGGGAGGTGGAGGGGGGGGGGTACTAAAACTACGTTGACGGTTCCCTTAACGTGAATGTTTACCTTTTTATCTCTGGGTTTTTCTAACCCCCCATTTTAGATTTTGTGAACACTTCCTTTAAAATTAACATGTGACTAACCTGTAGCCGACCAAACTCTTTTTTTCCAGACAAAGTTTTCAATGGACAAAATTCTCCTTTAAGATTAACAAATTGGATTTTAGTAAACTTCATTTGCAAAATTTTATAATGTTTGTTAACAGTATATAATGTTATTATATTAAATATTATATACATTATAATATTTTTTTTCGCTGATTTTGGTTGATATTTTGCCCCGTGGATCCGTATATTTTTGTGGATCTGGATACCGGATACAGAAAGCAAAAATCTTGCTGATCCAACGGATCCGGATCCTAAGCACTGATATAATGTCTGTTGTCAGTTTTTAACATTTTTAATCAATATATAGTGTTTGTAATCAGTTTTTAATGTTTAAGTTCAATACGTAATGTTTGATACCAGAATTTAATGTTTATAATCAATTTTTAATGTTTGTTAACCGAATTAATGTTTCTATTCAGTATTTAATGTTTATTATCAAGATGGTTGATCTTTTATTTATTTATTTATTTAATGTTTGCAATCAATTTATAGTGTTTGTAATCAAGTACTGAATGTTCTAAATCAATATTTAAGGTTTGTAATTAATTGATGGTCAATTTGAAAGTTTGAATGGGACTGTAATCATTATTAAATATTAATTATTTTATGTTTTTCTTTCCTTGAGTTGGCATAGGATACTCGGAACTGTGGAGAAGAGATTTTGTAATCTAAATATTTCAGGTTTTAAGTTTTTGATTTATTTCCTTAACCCTATCCCGGCGGGGCTAATTTTGTCTAAGACCTCTAACTTTCAGGGTTAGGGTGCAAGGAAGTATTTAAAAAAGTTCAAAAAATACGTCGGAAAAATTATCAAAAATATTTTTTTAAAATTTTGACAAATATTTACATGTGACACATGATTTTAACATCCTGATCCATTTTTCAAGGGCTTTTTCAAATATAGAAATTTTAGACCGGTAGCTTTAATAGCTACTAAGCATTTGGTATTGTTTTAAAAACAACTTTGATGAAGTAAGCCGGTTTTAAGTTATTTAGAAAAAAGAACCTGAGGGGAATAGAAAGTATACATTTAAGGGTAGAAATAATAAACATCTTGTCTCTTTTCGTAGAGCGAGGGAGAACAATTTTGACATATATGCAAATTTGATGTTACCCCCC